TGGAGAGCGGCCGGTTCGTTATGCGGGATGCGGATTGATGTCCGCTCGCCGTGTGGAGACCGCTGTCTTTGTCGCTAGCAGTCCGCTATCCAGCGGCCCCGTAAGATGACGTGGAATGCAAGTGATTCGCGACGTTGTTCGGCGACGGGAGTCTTGGGCTCCGTGTTTTGTATAAGCTGCGTCTCTGGCAGCGTCTAAGTCCCGTGCGGGCGTGAAGGCGAGCTCGGCTCGTGTGTATATGCTGCGTCCCTGGCAGCGACTACGTCCTGTGCGGACGTGAAGGCGAGTACTGCTCGCGTGTATATGCTGCGTCCCTGGCAGCGACTGAGTCCTGTGCGGACGTGAAGGCGAGTACTGCTCGCGTGTATATGCTGCGTCTCTGGCAGCGACTAAGTCCTTGATGACAAGGACGACTCGCGCGGAGTCGTGATCCCAACAGTTCTGTCGGCGATAATATTCAGTATGCGCAATACTGAGATGTTGCGAAGAGATACGTCCACCGCAGTGGAGATGTCAAGGTAATACGATATGGTCGCGCGAAGCCTTCTCTCAATCCTCGATCTTATTGAGAAGGTTGGAGATCCGTGGAGTTACCGTACACTTCGTAACACCGATGTCAACGTGTCCTCGGACACTCTAGAGACATTAGCCCAACGTGCAAGCGCACTCTAAAGGGCTGCGGAAGGTTGTGTAGAGTCACCGAAGACCTAACTACAAATGCCAACGTGTCTACGACACTCTTAAGGCAGTTAAGTTCAAGGCAGATATGCAAACGTATACCTCGAGCGAGGCAAGAGCCCAACGTGCTGACGCACTCAAGAAGGCGATATGAAGCTAGATATAGTGCAAAAGAATACCTCAGCGAGGCAGTGACCTGATGTGCAATAGTAGTCAAAAGGCTTAGAGTCGGCGTCCGCGGCGTCTTATATAGGCGCCGCACCGAAATTTAACCGCGAGTAACGGCCCCGGCTCGGCGCGCTGCCGCGTAGCGGCGGCGGCGTGAAGCCGCGGCGAGCGGTAGTCGCCCGCGCGCGGAACGCGCCTGGTGCACGGCCGCCCGCCGCCCGCGATCCGTGCGGACGACAGCTCCCGTGCGGAACATACCGCCCGCCTCCGTCTGTGCGACGGAAATTAAGTAAGTGCTGGAGTGTCGGGTGTTTCGACAGCTTCCCCGATCGGCAGCCGCACTAGTTTGACTAGGGGCCTCGTGAGGACGGACTCCTGAGTTCGCACCCGCGCGACTCGTGTTTGACCATCGGGGCCCGCGAACAGTTCGAGGATGCGTCCCAGAGCCCATTTAGACGGAGGGAAACGGGCGTCGATGATGACCACCAGTTCTCCCACGAGCGGCGGGTCCTCAGGGCTGGCCCACTTACGCCGCTCCTGGAGTTGAGACAGGTACTCTTTGGACCACCTGGCCCAGAGGTGCTCCGTCATGCTCCGCAGGAGCTGCCACCGGGACAGCGTGGACGGTCTGACTCCCTCGACGCTTGGTTCCGGAATGGCGTTGATCGGACGGCCTATGAGGAAGTGGCCCGGAGTCAATGCCCTCAGGTCGTCGGGATCGTCGGTGAGTGGGCAGAGCGGCCGAGAGTTGAGACAGGCCTCGACTCGTGCCAGCCACGTGGAGAATTCCTCGAAGGAGAGTGGTCGGGCGCCTATTACCCGCCGGAGGTGGTGTTTCACGGAACGAACCCCTGCTTCCCATAATCCGCCAAAGTGTGGAGCTGAAGGAGGGATGAATTTCCACTTCGTGCCGTCGTTGGCAAGGGCCTGCGCCACCGGCCCGCCCTGTCTTAGTACGTCGGACAGGTGAGTGCGCAGCTCCCGACTGGCTCCCAAGAATGTGGTGCCCTGGTCACTCCAAAGAGTCGACGGGGTTCCACGGCATGCCGCGAAGCGGTGCAAAGCTGCTAAGAACGCCGACGCCGTGTAATCGCCCACGAGTTCCAGGTCGACCGCTCTGGTGGTAAAGCACACGAACACGGCAATGTAACCCTTAAAGGCGCGTCGGCCCCGGCCCCGCGAAGCAGTCAACGAGACCGGCCCGGCGTAGTCCACTCCGGAGATGTTAAATGGCGCCGTGGCGACGACACGATCCCTGGGCAAAGGAGCCATCATTGGTTGCATGGGTCGCGCCCGATGCCGAGTGCAGACGACGCAGCGGTGGAGCAGCCCTCTGACAAAGGCACGACCGGCTGGCACCCAGAAACGCTCGCGCAGCGTGGCCAGCGTGAGCTGGGTACCCCCATGGAGCGTGCGCTCGTGGATGTCCCGAACGAGTAGTGCCGTGAAATGTGATTGTCGTGGCAGGACAATTGGGCAACGTTCGTCTACCGGGAGCTGGGCGGATGCTAGCCGTCCGCCCACTCGTAATAACCCTTCCCGATCCAGTACCGGGCACAGTTCCCGCAACGGGCTGTCGCGGGGAAGGCGCAAGCCGCTCTGCGCGCAACGTCTCTCGCGGGCGAAGGATCCCTCCTGGGTCAGCCATATAAGGCGTACCTCCGCGCGTCGAAGTTCGGAGGCAGTCAGCCCCAACGCAGAGCCGGCGCTCCTCGTGACTACGCGGAGCACATAGGCCATCACATGGAGGGCCCGGCGATATGAGGACGCCCTTATCAACCCGTCCCACTCAGGTAAGGCCACAGTGGTGGCTTGCACGACGCGTCGTTCCTCCGGCGCCGTCATCAACCGGGGCTCCCGCTTTGGCCAACGGTCTTCCGGGAGCAACAGCCACTTGGGACCCCCCCACCATATGTCGTGGCTGCGCAGAGCCGCTGGTGACATTCCACGGGTGGCGGCATCCGCTGGATTGTCTACAGTCGATACATGGCCCCAACGGGCACCCGGAATCATCTCGTGTATCGTCCCGACGCGATTTGCAACAAAGGTGCTCCAACGGGACGGGTGGCCGCGGATCCACGCGAGGGCCACGGTAGAGTCCGTCCAGCAGCACACCTTCGGTGTCATCCCGGGCACAGCATGGAGGACGAAGTGGATGGCCCGCGCCAGCAAGTGCGCACCGCACAACTTCAAACGGGGCAGCGTGACCCGTCTCACTGGGGACACCCGAGTCTTCGCGAACAGCAAGCTCGCTGCCGCGGCCCGTCCCGGGGCCTCGTCACGAGGTATATTGCCGCCGCGTAGGCTCTCTCGGAGGCGTCGGAGAATCCGTGTAACTCCGCCTCAATGCTGGGGGACCAACCGACCCAGCGAGGTATACGGATCGCGTGGAGATCCGCCAGCTCCACGCGTAACAATTTCCACCGCTCCATCATGGTGGGAGATAAAGGTTGATCCCAGTCAACCCCGGCTAACCACAACTCCTGGAGGAGTATTTTGCCCCGAACGATGACCGGGCTGATCCATCCCATGGGGTCGAACAAGCGCGCGGTGGTCGACAGGATCCCGCGTTTCGTTAACGGACTTGACTCCTCCGGGGTCACCGCGTAGCACAGAGAGTCGGACAGCGGCAACCAGTGGACTCCGAGAATAGGAGCTCCGACCGCATCTCTGTCGCGTATCTGTATCAGCGGCTCTCGATCCTCCTCGCATACGGACTCCAGTACAACCGCCGAGTTGGAGGCCCATTTTCTGAGGCTGAAGCCGCCCGCCCTCAGAAGGTTTATGAGCTCCCTTTGGAGAGCCTGAGCATCGGCCTCGCTATCTGCTCCTGCCAGGATGTCGTCCACATAAGTGTTAGCGCGGATGAGTTCCGCAGCTCGAGGCCACGCTTTCTGCTCATCCTGAGCGAGCTGTCGCAGGACCCGAAGGGCCAAGTACGGAGCACTGGCCGTCCCGTACGTGACCGTGTTGAGGCGGTAGGCGAGGATCGAATCGGAGGGGCTCCTGCGCCATAGTATCCGCTGAAGAGATAGATCTCAAGCGTGTACGAGGATCTGCCGGAACATTTTCTCAATGTCGGCCGCAAATGCCACTCGGTGGAGACGCCATGCAAGGAGAACACTACGCAGATCGCACTGCAGTCGAGGTCCCACATGCAGCAAATCATTCAGTGAACGGCCCGAGGAGGAGGGTTGCGAGGCGTTGAATACGACTCTAATCTTTAGGGCCCGGTCTAATGGTTTCACGACCGCGTGGTGCGGGATACAGAACTGTGCCTCCCCTGGAACGGACTGAGCAGGAATCATGTGTCCTAGCCGCTCATACTCATTTATAAATTGGATGTACGCAGCCCGTAAGTCCGGCTGGGTAGCGAGACGACGCTCCAGACGCAGGAGTGCCGCCCGTGCTATTCGCTCTGAGTCGCCTAACTCGAGTCAAGGGTCCGCTCGCAGCGGTAGGCGCACCATGTAACGCCCATCCTCGGTTCGGCCATACGTGTCCCGGAAGATTTCCTCGCACGCCAACTCCGCCTGAGTCAACATGGAAGTGGGAGGTAGTTCCCCCACTTCCCAAAAACGTCGCAGCTGGGAGCCGAGCTCGTCGTCTACACTCCGCAGCACGTGGCAGTGGGCCCGAGCCGTCCCGGACTCCCCGCCCAAGGAGCCTATCAGGATCCATCCTAGGCTGGTGGACTGAACAATGGGCGCGTCAACCTCACCCCATCGCACCTCGGGGCTTATAATACTGGAGTAGATGTCGGCCCCGAGAACCGCGTCAATGCGAGACAGGCCCGTGACGTCGTCTGCGAGCGACAGACCCTCCAGGTGCGTCCAGTTACTGGGTATGGACGTGAGTGGCTGTTTATACGCCGTCAACCTCGGAAGCACCAACGCCTCAAGAGGCAGCTCGCACGCTTCTCCCTGAGCAGACGACAGACGAAGGGTGGTCATGGCGCGCACCACCTGAGACGGAGTTTCTGCCGCGGCCGCCAGTTCCATGCGCACAGCTCGCCGACCAGCCCGGAGTCGCTGGACAACTGATTCCGACACCATGTTGACCTCAGCCCCTGTATCGATGAGAGCCCGGACTAAGGTCGAACGACCGTTGGAGACAGAGAGACGCACGCGCGCAGTCCCCAACAAAGCGCGTCTAGGAGTCCGACGCCAATTACGCCTCACGGAGGTGGCCGAGACGGTGGCGGAGATGGTGGCCCCTGGGGGGGATGAGCCCGTGTTTTCTTCCTCGCGGTGGATAAGGGTATGATGCGACTGACCGCACTCCCGACAACGACGGCCCGAGGGACACTGGCTCGCCTGGTGTTGAGGTAACAAACAATTGTAACAGAGGCCCCAACCGATCACTCGTTCTCGACGTACCTTTGTTGCCAGTCGCTTAAATGCCGCACAGTCCCAAAGCGGGTGGCTCCCCCTGCAGTGCGCACACGGCCTACGGTTGGCCTCCGCCACGTGGTGCGTGCGGACGCTGTGTCCACGTTCGTTCGCGGATCCCGGAAGGAGGGCACCTCGGCCTCCGTCAGTGGAGGAGCGAGGGCCTCCGTCGACCGCCTCCAGCTCTCGGAGACGAGACGCAAGAAATTCCACCAAGGCTTCCCAAGAGACCGGCTCGCGCTCTCTATTTGTCGCCTTCTCCCAGTCGCGACGCGAGGCCGCCTCCAAACGACAGACGGTTCGATTGACGAACACGTCGTCCCAAGTTTCCACCGGCCGATTCAATTGGCGGAGAAACGACCGTATTTCCGAGGTGCGGTCAAGTAGGCGCCGAAGCTCCGCGGCCGACTCCTGCTTCATAGGTCGCAAGTCGAAAAACGAGTTCAAGTACGTGTTGACAAGGCGGGGCGTATTATCGTACCGCTCGCACAATGCGCTCCATGCGTCGCGAAACCCGTCGTTGGTAACCGGATAATTTCGCAAGAGTTGCTCAGGCTCTCCAGTAACGTGCTGCTTCAGGTAGTGCAGTTTGTGTACGTCCTGCAACGCTGCGTTATTCCCAACGAGGGACTTAAACATGTCCCGGAATAGTCGCCATCAATTGAAGTCCCCGTTAAACGTGGGGATCGGGATCCGCGGGAGCGGCAGTTCGGAAACGGTCGCTTACGGGGGGCGCGCTGTCTCTTCAGCCGCACCGCCTGCCATGGAACCCTTGAATGCCTCCATCAGGGTACGAAGCTCCATTTTGCGGAGCATGTATACTTCAGAGGTGTCTTCGTAGCTGCCTCGCTTAATGTAGTCGGAGGAGCGTATCACCTCGTCCCGAGACGTCCGGATGATAGCATGGTCTCGCTCGTACTGAGACCAGTATGAATCCAGAATATGGAGTCGGTTCTCCAAGCCAATTAATGATTTGTCCTCACCGTTCTTCTTAGCGTTGACGAGTATATGTAGCGATATGTAGCCCTGTTGATCGGTCTGAAGGACGATCAGCCCCAGCAACTGATCGCGATCCATCTTGATAGCCGAGTCGAGGGAATCACTTGTACTGGCGATTCGCGGTGACGAGAAGATCACATTCCGCATCCGGCTCGAAGGACCAAATGTTTCGAACGGCCCGAGGGTGGAGAGCGGCCGGTTCGTTATGCGGGATGCGGATTGATGTCCGCTCGCCGTGTGGAGACCGCGGTCTTCGTCGCTAGCAGTCCGCTGTCCAGCGGCCCCGTAAGATGACGTGGGGTGCAAGTGATTCGCGACGTTGTTCGGCGACGGGAGTCTTTGGCTCCGTGTTTTGTATAAGCTGCGTCTCTGGCAGCGTCTAAGTCCCGTGCGGGCGTGAAGGCGAGCTCGGCTCGTGTGTATATGCTGCGTCCCTGGCAGCGACTGAGTCCTGTGACGACGTGAAGGCGAGCACTGCTCGCGCGTATATGCTGCGTCCCTGGCAGCGACTGAGACCTGTGCGGACGTGAAGGCGCGTACTGCTCGCGTGTATATGCTGCGTCCCTGGCAGCGACTGAGTCCTGTGCGGACGTGAAGGCGAGTACTGCTCGCGTGTATATGCTGCGTCCCTGGCAGCGACTACGTTCTGTGCGGACGTGAAGGCGAGTACTGCTCGCGTGTATATGCTGCGTCTCTGGCAGCGACTAAGTCTTTGATGACAAGGACGACTCGCGCGGAGTCGTGATCCCAACAGTTCTGTCGGCGATAATATTCAGTATGCGCAATACTGAGATGTCGCGAAGAGATACGTCCACCGCAGTGGAGATGTCAAGGTAATACGATATGGTCGCGCGAAGCCTTCTCTCAATCCTCAATCGTATTGAGAAGGTTGGAGATCCGTGGAGTTACCGTACACTTCGTAACACCGATGTCAACGTGTCCTCGGACACTCTAGAGACATTAGCCCAACGTGCAAGTGCACCCTAAAGGGCTGCGGAGGGTTGTGTAGAGTCACCGAAGACCTAAACACAAATGCCAACGTGACTACGACACTCTTAAGGCAGTAAAGTTCAATGCCGATATGCAAGCGTATACCTCGCGCGAGGCAAGAACCCAACGTGCTGACGCACTCAATAAGGCGATATGAAGCTAGATATAGTGCAAAAGAATACCTCAGCGAGGCAGTGACCTGATG